CCAGTCTTCAGGGGCTCAGAAATCCTCAATAACCAGCTATTAATGTGCGCCGCAGAGAGAGAGAGAAAGAATTAACTCTGCGGTCACTTGATCATCATCTCCAGATCGGCTCCTTACGAGCACCAACAATTCAGCGGTTTCAATCTGGAGGATTTACAATGAGAAAGAAAAAATCCCTGGACGTTTGTACAGTCGTTCTGAATGCATCAAGATATTCCTGGAATTGACTGAAACATTGATTTTATCGTCATTTACTGAAAGACTTCGTTGCACTTCATTGTAAACTGCAAGTGCACAGTATTGAAAAACTACAAAGGTAGACGTTCAGCTTTTCATTTTCAGATGAGCCACGTCTTTGACAGTGACACAAATATGTAGAATAACATGTCTGTTTTGTGTTTGTGGCTTTGTGTTGGCTTTTAGTCGCTATAATGTTGACAAAAATGACACATTCACTTATTGTCAGCCACGTAATTCATTCTAAACGGCAATAGAGTTTTAAAAATTGTTTTATAGTTTAATTGGTGGTTCATTCCGCGGTGGAGACCCCTGATAACCAGGGACTTAATAGTGAGTGAATCTTACAGATTTCATTCATTCTTTTTTTTACAGCTTGGTCACTTTATTAATCAGGGGTCGCCACAGCGGAATGAACCGCCAACTTATTCAGCATTTGTTTTACGCAGTGGATGCCCTTCCAGCTGCAACCCATCACTGGGAAACATCTATACACACTCAAACACCACGGAAAATTTTTCAGCCTACCCAATTCACCTGCATGTCTTTGGACTGTGGGGAAACCGGAGCACCCGGAGGAAACCCACACCAACACGGGGAGAACATGCAAACTCCACACTGAAATACCAACCAACCCAGCCGAGGCTCGAACCAGTGACCTTGCTGTGAGGCGACAGCACTACCTACTGCGCCCCCGCGTCATCCCATTTTACTGATTTAATGTAATTTATTTAATCAGCAGTCTTCTGTTCACTAAAACACAAAGACACACTGGACTTTCATGTTATATGGGGACTTCCCATAGAGATAATTATTTTTATCCTTCATATTCTGTCCTCTTCCCCCAACCCAACCCTCAAATGAAACATTTCAACCCTCAAAAATTGTCATTTTCATTACATTCGAATTTCTCATTGTCAAAATACTTCATCCTGTGTGATTTATGAGCCGTTGTCCTCATGGGGACCAAATAAAATGTCCTTACAAGCTCAAAAGTTACTGGTATTACTATACTTGTGGGGACATTTGTTCCTTATAATTATGGCTGATTAACATTTGGCTGATTAAATACTTCATTCATTCATTTCTTTTCAGTTTAGTCCCTTTATTAATCAGGGGTCGCCACAGCGGAATGAACCACTAACTTATCCAGCATATGTTTTACGCAGCTGATGCCCTTCCAGCTGCAACCCAGTACTGGAAACACTCATACACACTCCTTCACACTCTCAGTCACACACATACACTACGGCCAATATAGTGCATGTGTTTGGACTGTGGGGGAAACTGGAGCACCCGGAGGAAACCCACGCCAACATGGGGAGAACATGCAAACTCCATACAAAAAAGCAAACTGGCCCAGCCGGGACTTGAACCAGCGACCTTCTTGCTGTGAGATGATCGTGCTACCCAATGCGCCACCATGACACCCTGATTAAATACTTTTTTTCATTTATTTATTTTTGGCAGCACTTGAGTTTAATTTTGGTCTCAAGTAAAAGGAAAAAAGTGACTGATCTACATTAAGTCCAGACAAATGTACATCTTAAAATTTGAAATAAATAAATCTGATTACATATTTATGAATTTTTTGATTAAATTAAATAAATAAAATCATATTTCATTTATTCAATCATTTTCTTTTTGGCTTAGTCCCTTTATTAATCAGGGGTCACCACAGCGGAATGAACCAACAACTTATCCAGCATATGTTTTGCGCAATGGATGCCCTTCCAGCTGCAACCCAGCAATGGGAAACACCCATACACTCTCGCATTCACACACTCGTACACTACGTGAAGTTTCACACACTAATTTCGAGAAGAGCACGTGATATCATTAATCACCAGCTAGCCAATCAGATCATTCTAAATTTAATATAAATATCCAGCCTAAGCTTCATTCCTCATCTTCGTTTTGGAAGATCCCCCCCCCCCACCTATCCCTTCTCCCTCCTCCTCAATTCTAGGATCAGGCGACACGGCGGCTTAGTGGCAACACGACGGCTTAATAAGGCCATTGGTTTAAACACTAGCTGAGCCAGTCGGCACTCTCTGTGTGGAGTTTTCATGTTCTCCCCCAGTTCGCGTGGGGCTCCCCCCCCAACCCCAGGTTTCCAACTACAGTCAAAAGACATGTAACACAAGTTAAAGTCACAAGCATGCAATAACATACACACTGGCGCAGTTGGCGGACTATACTTGGAAAGTTATCGAGAACTACCTGATCTCGTATCCCTCCTAGTGCTCATTGACCAGACGGGAGCCTTGGGCTCATCTATCTCCAAGCTCAAGGTTCTATCCCGGCACAGCATGCCACACCTGCTAACATAAGCCCCTTTCACACAGTGATACCAGTAAATATCCGGAAAATTTCCGGAACGACTTTACCGGTAAATTAAAAAAAAGCGCTGTTCACACAGGCGAGGACGTTGCGGAATTTTTCCAAGAGCATTCACACATCCATCCCAAAATGCCGGTAAATTCTGACATCATTAACCAGAAATGACCTCTAAACGGCTGCGCTTGTGTTTATAAACATTTGACTACATTACAAACTCTGTTAATGGATCAGTATTGAGTAAAACTCCAATGAAAACATAGAGAAACACTTTCGCATGTCGAGATGTACTTGATATGTGTGTGTGCTGGCTGCTATGGGCGCTCACGGGCACACGCAAAGCTTGAAGGTAAACAAACAACGGATTATCATAACAATTTTATTGATAATTATTTACACAGTTAGCATTAAGAAGGAACATATAAACGTGATCTGACTAACATCTAGCAGCTAAAGGTGTCTGGAAAAATATTCAAAGGCTTTTATTCTCCTAAACCACGCACACGTGAACGCGTTTGACTGTTCTGATTGGCTAAAGTAGATGTCTCACGTCTCACTCATTGCTCTTTCCGGCAATCTTCCTTCTGCATTCACACAACGCAGCATTCCGGCAAATTACCGGTAATGTTACAACTTCTCTTTCCGGAAAATAGCCAGAACGAATTTACCGGTATTTTCAAAACGAGCCTGTTCACACATACACACCTTTCCGGAAAATTGCCGGTAATTTTCCGGAAAGGTGTGTATGTGTGAAAGAGGCTAAAGTCAAGCATTACCTAAGTGTGAACTCTTGAAGGCCAATTTAGCTTATTCATTTCCACTATAGCGCATGTGTATGGACTGGGGGGGGGGGGAACCGGGGGGAAATTTCTTTTGCATTTATTGTGAACTTCAGCTTACCATTTACAAAACCGAACAAATACTAAATTTAAAACAAAGACATGCAATAATTAGATAAAGAGGTGCAAACGTTAATTAAACGATCTCCCAAGTGAATTTATGAAGACTTGGACCAGATCTACATGAATCTACACGCTTCGACTGTACAGCAGACGCACATAAGAGAGAATAAACAGAGAACAGGACTTGCTGATTTACATCACATTTTGAGAAAATATTGTCTTAAAAAGATGTTTTTGATTGGGGATAACATGAATTCGGCACATAATTGACACCATGTTGCAAAATAAAATCTATTGGATTTGCGTTGGGGAAAAACGAAAACAACACAACCGAGCGTTTTTTCGACATGCATAACAGAACACAGTGCAAAATCTAATAAAGGCAGTTTATAAAGGAGAATTCCTGCGCTCTGTATTCTGCACGACAGTAAACAAGGCCTTCAGTTCAAAGATTCACCACAGAAGTGTACCATTTCAAAGCCAGGGAGCTTTACAGAGCTGGAGTCGCGGTTTAACAGCGACAAAACACTTGCAAATAAGGAGCAAATGGAGAAATGACGGTGTAAAAAAAAGAGCACAGCAACACGCTCAGGAATGCAGATGCACACAAAAGCCATGAAAATGTAAATGTTTGCTCGCTTGAAGCTCATTTCCACTGCATGAGTACAACAGAGACAGAGCTATAGTGCAGTATGTGACCGTCAATGCATTCAATGCAAATGATATACATATTTCTCGTTAACTTTTGGCCACAGATGCATCTCTTCCAGCAAAAACGTTAGTTTACTTTAGGAGTAATTGGTTTAGTAAGCATTTTAGAAACAAATGTGGGACGTTCGAAGCTTCTTCAAATAAATTGGGTCAAAAATATTGACTTTAATTTTAATCTGGAGTCTAACAAATGGAGGAAAATAAAGCTGTATTACATTTTTAAAAAAATGTTTTGATGTTCATCTTTGACCCACATACTATATAATGCGGAAATGCTGATATCATCTCTGTAGCTCAGTGTGTGTGTGTGTGTTCAGTCAATGTGTAATCAAATGAATGGAGGTGAATTGAGTTTGACTGCATCAGCACTATATTAATCACACCAACACAAACATGCTTTCGCAAGCCTCTGATGGTCAAGTGTGTGCATGTGTGTGTGTGTCCAGGGTTTGCCTTCTTTCATAACGCCGCTTTTGAAAAGAGTTCAGAGCTTTTGTTAAAGCTAGAAGACTGCTGCAATCAAAGCAGCCTTTATCCCAGACGCTTATCTGCTTTCTAGATATGTTTGTGCAGGAATCTCAGTCACAAAGCTAAACCATCGCCAACAAAACTGAATCATCTGCCTAAAAGAGCTCAGCAATCAATTATACATCAATTAAAGCACTAATTTGTGTTTTTCGTAGATTGAAATCATTACAAGTCCACCTGCATCAACCAGAGGTTGAAGAAGCTGCCACAGAGACTAAGAGAAATGTCAATGACGTCCATCGATCAATAATCCAGATCCCCAAACAAAAAGCAAGCACTGACCTACTCGCAGCTCCTGGCCGAAGACGGTGCGTTCGCCCAACGCTGAACAGTTCCAGCGGCCGTATCTGAACTGGTACTGGCATTCGTTAATGCCCAGCTGCGCTCCTTCTCCGATCACGATGATGGCGTCCGGCCGGCTCTGGCAGATGGCGCGCTGACGGGGGGCGAGACCCGGAATCTTATTGCAGATGATGTTCGCACCGAGAGCCACCACTGAGGAAAGAGCCCTGCAGGACAGAAGACACGCAAACCAAGGTTATATTAGTTAACGAAAACTAAAACGATTGGTCAAAAAAAAAACGAAGTAAATTAAGTGAAATAGTGAACAGTCACTGAAAAACTAGCTTAAAAAAGTGAACAATTCACATTAAGTTAAAACTACACTGCAAAAAAAGTCTTCTTAGTAAACTTTTACAAACTAATTTCGAGAGAAGCACATGATATGATTGATCGCAGCTGGTCCCTCATCCGTAACCTGTAATAATTAATAATAATAGTCTCCTCGGCTATGGAACTCACTTCCACTAGATCTTAGGAGCAGTGATAGTCTTCACAATTTTAAATCACGTCTAAAGACCCATCTTTTTAAGCAGGCTTTTACTTAACTTTTTTTTTATCATGTTTTTTTATGTTCTTTTATATTCGCTATTGTGTTTTAACTTGTTTGGTCAATGATTGTTTTTAGTAATGTTTAATTTGTTTAGCATGTCTGCTGATACTTATTGTAAGGCGACCTTGGGTGTCTAGAAAGGCGCCATTTACAAATAAAATGAATTATTATTATTATTATAATCCAATCAGATTATTCCAAGCCTACAATAAATAGACTGATTTCACCCTACTGCTTTATCTTAGTTTTGGAAAAATCCCCCCTTCCACCCCATCTCCTCCTTTTTCTCCTTTACCAAGGGGAGCTCTCGAGACCTGATTTTGGACACCCTTACATGCTAATTGACCAGGCAGAAGCCCTGGGCTCAATAATCTCCGAGCTCATGGTTTTCTCCCGGGACAACCTGCCAAACCTGCTAATAGCGTCAAGCAATATCCAAGTGTGAACTCTTGTACTTAGATTTTTTTTGTCTTGCTTCTAGTCCAAACACCTAAGTGAGGTTTATTTATAAACCTAATTTCGAGAGGAACACGTGCTTTTGATTTATCACGGCCGGTCTCGTATTAGCTAATCATTATCTTCCAATCATATGAGCCCTAAGCTGCTATAAATAACCACAGTTTATACCCCCCTTCCTCCCCAAATCTCCTCCTTTACCGTTGATCAGGCGGCACGGCGGCCCAGTGGTTAGCACTGTGAGCGCCACAGCAAGAACACTGCCAGCCCTGGTTCCAGGCAGTTTCTATGAGGAGTTGGTATGTTCTCCACGTGTCCGCGTGGGTTTTCCCGGGGTTCTCCGGTTTCCTCCCACCATCCAAAGATATACATCATGCATAACAATCAAGCACTTTTCTTGCCCCTTTTCTCACATGTTCCCTTAGCTACCACAGCCAGGGAGTTCTGAGACACACGGAGCTAAAGCTCCCCTCTCACTCTGCGAACGGGAGGAAGCCCCGGGCTCGAGGATCCCTTGAGCTCGGGGCTCTCTCCCGGGACAGCAAGCCAAACAAGCTTTTGATAGATCATCACCAGCTAAGTGTGAACTCTTGAAATATTTTCAAAAGAAGAAGCATTTTCTAGAAAAGCAAAACCTATTGTCTTCTTCCCTAAAAGCAGCAAAATAATCTGCCCATAGGTCAGCAAAATAATCTTATGTCAAAAGGAAAAACTAGATTATTTTGCATACGTCAGGACAAAAACAGTAGAAAAGAAAAGCATGAACATTTACATTTACATTACATTTAGTCATTTAGCAGACGCTTTTATCCAAAGCGACTTACAAATGAGGACAAGGAAGCAATTTACACAACTAAGAGCAACAATGAATAAGTGCTATAGGCAAGTTTCAGGTCTGTAAAGTCTAAGAAGAGAAGTATTGATGGTATTAGTATTTTATTTATTTTTTTGGTACAGTTAGTGTGATATTCAGAGAGGGAATTGCAGATTAGGAAGTGAAGTGGAGACTAAATAGTTGAGTTTTTAGTGGTTTCTTGAAGACAGTGAGTGACTCTGCTGTTCTGATGCAGTTAGGGAGTTCATTCCACCAACTGGGCAGATTGAGCGTGAGCGTTCGCGAAAGTGATTTCTTCCCTCTTTGGGATGGAACCACGAGGCGACGTTCATTCACAGAACGCAAGTTTCTGGAGGGCACATACATCTGCAGAAGTGAGAGCAGATAAGAAGGAGCAAGGCCAGAAGTCGCTTTGTAGGCAAACATCAGAGCTTTGAATTTGATGCGAGCAGCAACTGGCAGCCAGTGCAAACGGATGAGCAGCGGAGTGACATGTGCTCGTTTAGGTTCATTGAAGACAACTCGTGCTGCTGCAAACAAACATGAATAGAGTTTAATAGACCACAACAGCATAAATTAACATGACATAGAAGCATAATTAAATAAAACAGAACATATAAGCCAAAAGTGCAAGCCATTTCTGTAATATAGAATAGATTAGGAGAAACTATAGAGAAGAAACAAAAGAAATAAATCCAATAAAGATGAATCCAACCGAGTTCATAAGACCACAAAAGCATAAATGAACATGATATAAGAGTAAAACTGGAGAGAAAAAAAACATAATCGAATTGAAAATAAGCCAGAAGGCCGGTCCCTTTCTGTTATATAGATTAACATAGACCAGGATATAGCAGTATAGAGATAACAGGACATAAACAAAGTAGAAAAGAAAAACATAACCAATTGAATATTGTAAATGTAGAGCTGAATAAAACAATAGAATTGAACAGCCCTACCTGCTCCTATTGAATAAAGTACAAAATAATAGAGCAAGATAACCAGACAAGAACAGGAAAATAAGAACATCTGAATACAAACAAATATAATAGAACCAAAAGTGAGCATAGAAAGTAATAGAGGAGAATTGGGCAACACATGACTGTAATACAGCATAGAATGAATAGGACTGAATATAATATACTGTATAACTGTATGTAACTGATTGAAAATGAAAATACAACTGAAGATGGAATAAAGTAGGATAGATATTAAAAGAACAGAACAGCACTGTATACAAAAACACAACTGAACAAAACTGAACTGTAAATGGTAATGCATAACCTTTCAATTCAATTGAAAAGTAAACTAACTATAACTAAATATAATAAAATTACTAGGATAGAATAAAACAGTATAGATAACTATAGAGCTGAACAGTGAAAATGTCACAAGAATAAATGGCATGAATGAATCAAAAGAAAAACAACTGAAAGTAAAGTCATAATATTATAGAGCAGGGGTCACCAACCTTTATGAAACTGAGAGCTACTTCTTGGGTAGCGATTAATGTGGAGGGCTACCAGTTTGATAAACACTTCTCAAATAACAAATTAGCTCAATTTACTTTTAATTATACATATATAGTACAATTAAATAGACCCGAGCAGCATAACTGAATATGACAGAATAAAACTGAGTAGGATTTGAGTGAAAGTCCCAAAAATCCAAACAAATGTAAATAGAATCAACAAGATATACAACAATTATAAAAAAGATATATAACAACTATAACTAATGCTGAGATGACATTGATATTTGTGTGCAATAATTCCAAAATGAATGTCGAATAATTATAAAATATTAATGATGATGAAAATGACAATAATAGTAACAATGAATTACATTTGTCATCATCATGCTGCCTTGAATGTGCATGAATGCGAGTTATCTGCTGTAAAAGCCTGTTACTTTATGAAAAATAAATGTATAGTTTGCATCAAACAAAAATGAAGCATTGCAGTGAGAAATATTGATTTTGTACTGCTGTTTATATATGCATGTCAGTTTAATAAATAATATTTCTGCTACAAAACAAACAAATGATTTTAATAAATAATTAAATTCAAGGCTGAAAGCTGCAAAACAGTCATCAGTAACTAAATAAAAAGAAATTATAATATACACCTCAAGAAAGAATAGACAAAAGAAAGTAAGTAAAGTCTCACTTCTATCACTCTTTAAAAGTTTTGGTTTCAGTTTGTGTCAATTTAAAGGTTCAGTCTGAGATGATCTTCATTTTTCTGTGTTCGCAGGTGAGTCAGCCGACCCAATTTATGAACATGATTCTTGCGATGACCACCGGCGCAATACCGCTTTGTTATGAGCCGCAGTTTCAGTGTAAACTTAGTAAAGGCGAGCTTCTTTGGCGATGATATGTACAGTATTAGATTTGACTTTTAGCGGACATTTGCTCTGAACACGCAGTGAATGCAACACATCGAGATTCGGGCGCTTTCTCTGAAAAGCACGTACTCGAGTGATCTCAGCTGGTGGATCAATATTCACCACACGTCATGATCGCTCTCATCTGCGCCTCAACTTTAGGTGGGGTTTGCAAACCTGTGTGCTTTAAGATTTCACTCTTCAGCCGTTTGCATTTCCCGTGGTCATAAAAGCTCCTTCCCTGTCATCTGACAGCGGAATACCTTGAGTGATTGACGGCTTATATAAACCAATATAGCGGCAGGGAAGAGCGATTCAGCACGTTTTTACAAAAAACGTTTTGCACTACAACCATTATCTGCAGTCGCACTAATGCGCCCAAATATATTATGAGGTCGCATAGATTAATTTTCGGGCGCATAAGCGACCAAAATGGTCGCAATTTCGAGCCCTGATAGAATAAACAACACACGAATACTAAACATGATGGAATAAAACTGAACACCACCACAAACATGGCACAACTGAACAGAATAAAATACAGCACAACCACATGTTATTATATTGTTCACAAGTGAAAAAAGTTTTTCGTTTTTTTCCCAGACATTTAAAAAGAATATATTTTAGAGCAGGGATCACAACACCAAGAAACAAACTAGGGATGCTCTGATCAGGATTTTCACAGCCGATATCAAGCACTAATCCTTTGTCATGGTGAATGGCTGATACTAAGTACCAATTCTGATGCTTCATTCATTTATTCATTCATTTTCCAGGGCCAGGTCACGAGGGCAGCAGTCTTAGGGGAGAACCCCAGACTTCCCTCTCCCCAGAAGCTTCCTCCAGCTCCTCAGGGGGGATCCCGAGGTGTTCCCAGACCAGCCGAGAGACATAGTCCCTCCAGCCTGTCCTGTGTCTTCCCCAAGGCCTCCTCTCGGTGG